TGTGTGTCTGTGTGTATGTCTGTGTATCTGTATCTGTGTCTGTCTGTCTGTCTGTCTGTGTGTCCGCCTGCGCCCAGCGCTGTGTGCAGGGCCGTGCCGTGCCGTGCCGGGCCGGGCTCACCGGGCGCTCCCTCGGGAGCCGTGCCAGCCCCGTCCCCAGGGTTTCCATCAGACGAAATCAGGCCTGTGTATATCTCTCTCAAATAAAATCAGTGAACACAAAATGAACTGAAATTTGCCATAAGCAGCACATGAGGACAAACCATTTCAAATGCAGAAACCACTGCATCAATAGGCTGTTCCTATTGATCATCACTGTATTATAATGGAAGGCTCTTTATACAAAGTCTCAATCATTTGAAGCACCTCAAATGATTATCTAGAAGGTGTTTTTTTAGCATGCAGGCCTGCCATTGCAGTTCTCAATTGCATATCCTTAGGAAGCAGCTTACTTTCTTTATTCTCTCTGGTTTTGTTCTGCTCTAACATTCACTTATCTCCCTTTTAGTGTTGTAGGCACCACTCAAGCACAAAAGTTCTTGCTCCCTGTGGGAAATACAAAACAGTTTCCCCAGTGGACATTTGCCTTTTGCATCATTTCAGTTTCTTGTTGGGTTTTTTGCAAGCTTAGCTGGTCATAAATGAGCTAGACAACAGATGCTAGAGCTCATGCTATAACACAGAAAATTTTAATTTAACAGAGGTTTCCACTTAAAAATGCAGCTGCCCATTGATGCACGGCCAAATTTACTTCTGAGAACACACTTCGAATGTATTGGAGAATGAGATGGATGCAAGTAGCTCTAATGATTGTCTCAGCAGGCTACTCATAAATGTTTCCTGCAACCCCTGTTCTTTTCATCCACACCCCATAGATCCAACCTGTCTGCTGGATGAGCCACACTTCAGGGATACATTAGAAACCTGTCCAGTTCATTGTCTTACACTTACACAAAATAATCCTTGCCAGGATTTTATTCCCTTTGTCTGAAGGGATGCTCCAAATATGACAGAGGCATAAATAATAAATCCACTTAAATGCTTGGGTTTTCTCAGTCAGGCTGGCCTGCTGTATTTAAATATTGATATCCTTTGGGTCTGTTCTCTTCAAAGTCATGTTCTTTGACAGGTCCCATTTGGGTCCACTGCACTACACTTCTGTCTGCTCTGTAGAAAGTGCTACAGCTGGTGGTTTGTTGATGAAAAATACTAGAAATCAGTTGAGTATTCTTTTGTTCTTAATTAGGAGGAGATGGAAAAACACATTGAAGAATTATGTCCAATTAATGATTTTTAAAAGTCTTATAAGACTTGTTTCTTTTTGGATTTTCATGTTTTTGGTTACTTTGCAGTAACAACTCTTCCCTGCCAGCATTGTTTTCCCTTGCAGGATAACTGTGTGTTGCTGAGGATGGCTGAGGGGCAGGATTGCTCTAAATTAAAGATGGACTCTATTTCTAAGTGAAATGTCTCACATGGTTCCTTTACTGGATGAATGGACACAAAAAGCTTTGCCCTGCTTTACTGTGACCAGAATATGCATGCTGCAGGGACTGCAGAGCTGTTGACATGATTCCCTTGGAGTTCATGCAGATACACTGAATAAACCAAATCACAGCCACAACTTCTTTGGCTTGCATGTGAATAACATCAGCTGACTGTGTTTCAAAGAGCAAAGATATGCCTGGGTTTGGGTGTTTTATGTTTTTTTTTTGGGTTTTTTTCCCTTCCCTCTAGTTTTCTTTCCCTGTCCTAAGCTTATCATTCCTTTTTCGGTGTAAATACAAAGGTCACGGTTTCAGTACGGTGGGTGACTCATTCTCATGTTTGAGCAATGTGATCAAAATGGAAACTTAGAACTCCCGGTGTGGTGTGTGTCCCATGTCACCGGCCTGCACAAAGCATGCCTTTGTGGATGCTGGCTCTCCTGAAGGGATCCGGTGTCACGTGTGTGATAACTTGAGTGCGAGCTCGGAGCAAATGCTTTTAACCTGACAGTGCTGCGTATGTTAAAATAAGGCAGATCGCTTTTTGCTGTCGGGGAGGTGCATGTGACACCTTTAGCAGCCGTGGGCATGTGTCTGTGTGTATGTGTGTCTGTGTGTCTGTGTGTGTGTGTGTGAGTCTGTGTGTGTGTCTGTGTGTGTGTGTGTGTGTGTGTGTGTGTGTGTGTGTGTCTGTGTGTGTGTCTGTGTGTGTGAGTCTGTGTGTGTGTGTCTGTGTGTGTCTCTGTGTGTCTGTGTGTGTGTCTCTGTGTGTGTGTCTGTGTGTGTCTGTGTGTATGTCTGTGTATCTGTATCTGTGTCTGTCTGTCTGTCTGTCTGTGTGTCCGCCTGCGCCCAGCGCTGTGTGCAGGGCCGTGCCGTGCCGTGCCGGGCCGGGCTCACCGGGCGCTCCCTCGGGAGCCGTGCCAGCCCCGTCCCGCCGTGTCCCGCGGGGCCGCGCGGGGGCGCCGCAGGGCAGCCGTGCCCTCAGGAGGCGGCGGCGGCCGG